CACGACGTTTCGATTGTTAGTATCTACAATCGTCTTCGGGTGATGACTGGACTGATTCCTCCGAGAGATGACTATTTATATGTCATTGTTATACTTTCACTTATCCCTGCTTTCCATTTTCCGCTTCACTGATTCCGTGAGAGATGACCGTTTTGGCGGGAGTTGGTAATTTTTCGTTTGATGATGGGTTTCCATATGTTGCGTATTTCTACGCTGGCCTGGCTGAATACGTTGTTGGACAACATGCGGCTTCCTTGAATTTTCTCCTATTATTTCATTTTAGGTTTATTTTTTGCTTAATATAATTGTTATTTTCAGCTATTCATTTTTTATTATTCTTTTTTAGTTGTTTCAGGGATTTCAAATCATTTTATATAGTAGACAATGGAAGTCCGAACTAGTGAAGATTTCTGGTTTGTTTGAAGGCGGTTAATAATGTTTCATGGTGAATTTTATTAGTTCGGACTTCAATCATCTAATATGATTCAAAAATCTATAAAAGAGCAAATAATCATAAGAAGAACCATATTAGAACTAGTGAAATTCAATAATTTCTAGGTTCAAAGGGTCAAGAGTTACTGAGCCTAACTGAACTTACAGTGAAAAGTAGGCAAAATAATTTTAATTAGACAAAACAAATGCAAATTAAAATGTCTGAAGAATTCTTCTTGATGGAATCCATAGATTTATTTTTATAATCGAATGAGTTCTAAGAGATTTTTCAAATATTTTCAAATTGAAAATCAATTGAATTGTATATAGATTTGCAAATATAAAAACAAGTTAGAATTCTACTGAATCTTTATTATTGATAGAAAAATAATGAACTTTGAACGGAATATCACGAAATCGAATATCTGGAATTTCGAGTATTTCGTTCTATAAATATCTTCATATAATATTTTCAAATTCCACTATTGCTGAGAGAATTTAAAATATCGATTGAATGGTTTTTTTAAACTTGAATGGTTTTTCTTCACCATCCATTGATACATTCTTGAACTGTTTACTGCAAATATGGGAACGTAAATAACATAACCCATTTTTAATGAGATTACAGTCTGTCAAAATCTGCATGTAATGTTTTCGGCTGTACAGCTGAACAAAGAGTAACTTTTCAAATTTGACCATCTCATATCTCTCATATGTATGCAGCTCAAACAAATTCTCGAGTGCAATGCGATGATATCACAGCAAAGCTGCGTCAACCGACTCCTATACAAGCAGAACGTGTTCTTTCTGTTAGAATATAAAGCCTGAAATTATTACGTTACCCACCACCACGTTTCATTGCTGTTCACGTGCTGATCATGCTTGTAATCTTATAGTGATGGAAAATTATACAACAATTAAAATAGCACTCAAATAACAAAATTAGACCAACATATTTGGATTCGAAGGAAGAGACAAACATATACCATCGCACTTTTTTGTAGATCTTTTTAAGGTGTACAATGCTTTAGTATATTTTTTGATCTATCTCGTAGGGTTCAGCCAGAGTTTGCAATGTTTGCAAAAAAATGTCGTTTATTCACGACATCACATTAGAAACCTCTGAAATTATCAGTGTTTGTCTACTATATTATGCATGTTATATATACATAAACCTTCCTCTTGAATCACTTCAACTATTGAAAAAACCCGCATCAAAGTCCGTTGCGTAGTTTTAAAGATCTGAGCATACATAGGGACAGACAGCGGGAAGCGACTTTGTTTTGTACTACTTATTGATACTATGAATTGAAAACTTTCATCGTTTGCGATTCACTCAAAAACTACTGAACGAACGATGATACAATAAAACAATTTACAACGTTGTTGTTTAGGTATACAAAGACGCGATGACATGTCCATCTTTTACGAACATACATTTACAAAGTCTGTCGCAGTAGCAGACGAAACGTCAGGTATAAAAACTTGCAGACCACGGCCAATAAACTCGGAAACATCGGACAGTTTATTATCGAAACAGTCCATATTGAAAAAATCTACTCAAAATCAATGAACTGTTAGAGAGATCAACTAGACCACAGTCACTTGGTCAGTCTTGAGCAGAAAGCTGCATTCAATACAAGGTGCAAGAGAAAACTCATGAAGCCTTCTATCAAAAGCTATGGATCATGGGATATATCTACCCCGAGGGAAACGCTTATACAATTATTGGAAGAATTCGGAGTGCAAAATTTTGTTAATGACCTGAGGCAAAACATCATCTTTAATTTGTCAAGTCGATATAAACTGTTTCATTTGTTGCATTAGATTTTGAAGTCTTCAAAAAAGTTATAGAGTTATAGGAAGCAGCAAGGCAACCCTTACAGAAGTCCTCAAGTGCCTATGGGATCTTTCGAAAAAATATTTGTTCTAATTGAATATGCTTCGATATTTACTAACAAAATATCTTCGGAAGAAAACTGAAAGTAAAGAGGTGTTCAGGAATAGTTAAACTGACACTACAGAAGACCTTGATATTTAAAAAGCCAGGCAAATGTTTCAGAAAAATATTAATGTATCGCCCTTCACAGGGGAAAGGTACTACAGTTGAAAGTAGAAAGGCAGAATTCGTAGAATCGCATCAGAAAGAAGAATGCTGACAGAAAAAATGGATCTTGAAGGACCGGATGGATGTAACCCAGACGAAATGTTGACTAATCAGAACGTGTACCAATTTATCACACCAGATGTTAGGAATCACACGTTCTGAGGGTTGTCGTTCGTAGGGGTGCGACAGCTGGTTAACGGAAAAACAGATTTTTTTCTAAACAGATCACACCAGAAGCAGACTTATGGGTTAACGAGAAATGGGAAAGAGAAGGAGATATGAAACAATCGGATTTTTTTCATTTCACCTTGAAATTCTTCCACAAGGATATCTCTCCTCTTTACAACTCGGTTTTATTATATTCTGCTTCATGTTCAACAATAACGAGAAGAGTCCATATTTGATTGCAAAGAAATGTGTAGGAAGACGAACCTTTCCTGATTATTACAAACTTCTCAAAGAATCAAGATGAATGGAAGTGGGCAAGTGAGACCCTGTTCCGTTTGCCAACTGATGTTTTTACATTTCAGACGTTATGGCGAAGGATCTAGGAATAATTCAGAAAGGTTGGAGGCTAAACACCTCTTTATCAGAAGAGAGAACAGAAAATTGAGAGATCTAATTTAGATAGTTCCTAAAGGTGGATCTCTCTGATGAATGGTTTAATTTCTTGAAGATGGTAAGATAAAATTCGACATAATTTATAAATAAAATTCTTTATTAGACGACATTTAAAAAACTATACTGATGGTATACTTCTATTGCCCCGCACAAAGCGGAAGTGAAACTATCAAGCACCTGTGCAACATATTCAGTCGTCGCAAGTAATTTTCTACATCTGCCTCACGTACCTACAAAATCGTAGGTCTCACATGAAAGGCAAGGGTTGGTATTTTGACCAGAATTTGGGCAAATTGTATGCACCTCTCCGGAATATATTTTTATACTTCAATGGGGTATAGATGTTATTCCAGAATATATCTGGAAAGTATATTTTTCCACTATCCGATAATAATTCAGTACACTTATATAACCTTTTATAATTATCGAGTGTTTCTACATTCGTAGGTTACAAAATTTCAAATTCAGAGATATATTCTAAAATTTTTTGTTTTTCTTATCTCTCCTGAAATTTACCCAGAATCCGCCGCTGTCTCGGAAACGAAGTTTTTTGAGAAATTTGCGATTTCCTTTGGTCATTCCAAAGTGCTCATCATTTATTTCCTTCTTCTCAGATAAAATTCAAAAAGTACTTTCACTGAAGTTGTATTAATTTCATTCTACGTAAGTACCAAATAATATGCTAATTACGTGGAGGTATTCAAAAACCAAATCTTCTTGGATAGTCAGACCGTTCAGGTTAGTCACTACGTGAATAATTAGGAAGCTGTAATTTCATTTAATATAATCAAAAGCTGATTCTGACAGTGTTTTTTTTAAATACCCGATTTGTGCGTGTCAAAGTTATAGTCTCATATAAATCAGTTTTCTTTTTCTGATTACTCGAAAATAACTTGTTGAATTTCATTTCTCCAAACATAGTTGTATAATCTTTTTGCTATGTCTGTTACGTCAATCAAATTTCCTTGATTTTTAAAAATACTTCATTAATTCTGTGACAATGATTATTATAATCATTACCCAGAAATGCGTTGTAGTTTATTGGGTGTATCTGTTCATGCAATTCAAAGAATTGTGCAATAACCCAGCTGTAGAAGACTGTGAGGGGATTACGTTAATCGAATCTCTGGATTGGGTTCGAATATTTGCTCTACGCAATGACTTCCTTTGAAAAACATTTCAAGGAAGTTGTTCTCAATTCAGAACGAATAGATTCAGTTTAATTTTTGGCATCCAATAGGGGATGTCCCCAAACATTTTTATGAGCCATTAATATTTTCCAGCTTCATTAAAAAAAATAATAGTCAATTTGAAACGCATTTCAATTCTGTGAATAATTCACAAAATGCAGTTTTACTTCAATTCATGGAGTTGTGAATTAGTGCAAGTGAGAGTGTCTAGATAGTCAGTTTGAATGGCCTATCAACCAGTTATTTTTCTCGGGAGCATTTATTTAGTTGAAGATGGATTGATTTTGTTACGTCACATATCTGATATAAAAAATCAATTTATGGTAGAAATAAATATGTTTTTTTCTATCTCTTAGAAAATTCAACTTAAAAACATCAATCAATAAGTCATGAACTCTTACTCACAAATATTTTACTTTAATCCTGATACATCTACAAGTTTTCTTAGATTTCAAATTGATATTTTAGTGAAGAAGTAGCCCATTGAATACTGATGTTGTGAATGCAGATGACTTTCCGTACTTTCAAATAATATCTCGATGTTCATTAAGAAAAAAATAGGAAGCTATTTGATTTGTTTGTTAATATTTATTGCACGTTTTGATGAACGATACCGAGTACACTAAAACTAACACTGAACTTTTTTTCAGCTCCGCGTATACCGGAAACATCGATTGAAGCGGTGAGTAATCCTATAATTAAATGAATGATTTCGAATTATTTATATCTTACCAATATTTCCAATTATGTTCAATTCATATGTATGTATGTATGGTTCGAAAGTACGATTTTGAGTTTTGGACATTTGAAAACATAAGTATTATATAAAATGAATATAACATATATAACAGATATATGCATGTATTCATTCGTGAAAAATATAAACAAATAAGAGAAAAACATGTTGGTCAGTATTGATTACTGACAACCACTTAACCGATTTTGAAAATTTTCTCACCTGTGGAAAGCTGTATTATAATTGAATAACATGGCTTGTATTTTAATTTCAACAAACTTCAGATGCCTACGAAAATTGCCATAATGTAACTCAAAGTATCAATTTGCCTATAAAAGTATTTTATTTGGTGTGCACTCCGTGATAATCAGCAGCTGTAGATATATAATTAAACAACTACTGAAAAACTTGAATTCACAATTTTACCGTCAGAAAATTCAGGATCATCAAATACACATCGGAATGATCAGTTTTTGACCATTGCTTTTATATTTGAAATAAGCATTGTTTTTTTGTTTCAATCAAATTAAATGTCATCTAGTTTCATTCAGTAATCGTGAATGCCAAATTCAGAAAGGAAGCTGGTAAATCATGATAAGTGATAAGAATAAAAGGGAGCCTTCGAAGTTTCAAAAATTACATGTAAAGATAATTAAAAAAAATATATTCAAAAACGGGATTGTAAAAAACCATCTCTGAAGTGAATATTCGAACGCACTCCTGGCGGTACTCTCTCGATAATGTCATTAAAATTTAAAGTCTTCACCCGTTCAACGACACGCCGGCAAAGAGAGAAAAAGTTTGTTCGAAGTAGATTCTGGCCTCACGTGACCTCGAGATAAGCATCCCGGGGGTATGGAAGATATGCCGACCGGTTATCGTAGCCAGTCCCGAGCGTGGAACTTCTGTCCACGAGTTACGAGACAAGAAGACACGCAACTGCCGTCTGGGGAACCGATACAGGTCCTGCCGACGTTGGAAACTCTTTAAGTTATGGCATACCGGCCGGGAATGGCGGAATTATTCGGATAAAGAGAGAAGTTTTTGTGAATGTCGGTGAAGCATTCCACCAGAATATCTTTCATAATGTAATTGGATGTACTGTCCTGAATTTTCTTGTGAAAAGCAAAATATCACGACTTAATTTTACTTGAAGTCGTACCCGACTAGTATCAATGACTTCCTTTTTTTCCAGTAACTATCCTCTTTATGTTTCCTCCATTGCCTATTCCGGAGACTTAGTTCAGTAAGTGAATATCACATGGAATTTTTTTGTTTGTCAGATCCTATTCAAACTGTGCATCCGATCCGATGCCCCAAATGAAAACAGGTATAACTTATCAACAGATGGAAAGGGTGTATGAGCACCAGAGGCTGACTTTCAATGAAAAGAGATGTAATTCCTAGAGTTAGGTACTTATCGAACGATGTGATGCTAGACAAACCCACATAGTGAACCAAAAACCCACGCACACGAGTAGGTACCTGCACGCATTATCAAACTACCATCGTAGTCAAAAGAGAGGAGTCATCTCTACTCTAACTGAACGAACTCAGAGAATATGTGAACCAGAGCATCTAGAGGAAAAACTAGAACATCTTCAAGTGACCTTGGCATCGAATGGATACAGTGTACCCGTGATCAACAAAGCCATGGAACTGAAGAGTTCCACGGGGAGGAGCTCAAATGGTTGCACGCACGAATCTGCCATATATCCCTAGGGTCACAGACAGAGCTGGAAAACTCTTGGAGATACACAACATTTAAACGGTTTTCAAAGCCACCAAGAAGATTCAACAAAGCCTCAGGTCGGCAAAATACAAGAGACCCACTATCAGCAGCAGGGGTATATCGCATACCATTTACTTGTGGAAAGGTATACATCGGAATCACCAAAAAATCCATGGGAACAAGGTTGAGGTAGCATGAGAGTAACTGCAGACTAGACCAAGTCAGCTTTGGCGGAACACGCGCTCAGTTAAGGAAACCCAGGATTCTGTTTGAAAACGCGAAACTTATTGCCCCCCAACCAAAGATTCCATAGCCGACTGGTACAGGAGGCAATAGAGATCCTCAAAACCACTCCACAGTCGATTTTCTGAGAAAGGTACCACCCATTATTCCCACACTAGAATCCACAATATCGGAAATCACTCTTCGACAGCGTCTAGTCAGGTGAATATCAACAAAGCGTCTGGTCCTGATGAAGTGCCCGTCATCGTACTTAAAAAGTGCGCAAATGAACTCGCACCAGTATTTCGCAGACTTTCCAACCTGTTTTACAAGTAAGGGGTTCCTCTTTCTTGTTGGAAGATTGTTCGCGTTCAGCCTATTCCCAAAAAGGGCAAGAAAACTCTTCCAGATAACTATAGACCAGTCGCTTTGCTTTCGGTGATATCAAAATCATGGAGAAAGTCGTACACCAGCCTATCCTCAAATATTTGGAAGGTTTCAACGTCTTTAGCGATCATCAATATGGTTTTCTGAAACAAAGATCAACAGGCGACCTTCTATTGTATGTCACCCATATTTGGAATAACGCAATCGAGAAACATGGAGAGTCAAGAGTTGTTGCAATTGATATTTCTAAGGTCTTTGACCGTGTGTGGCATGAGGGTTTGCTGGCCAAACTTTGATGCTATGGCTTGTCGGATCATTTTTGTGTATGGCTCTTCAGCTTCCTGAAATAACGTTTCCTGCAAGTGGCTGTCGATGAATATCTCTCGAATACTTTCACCATCAACGCTGGTGTTCCCCAGGGATTCATATTGTCTCCAACCTTTTTTTTATTGAATATTAACGACTAATTGGAAAAAACCAAGAATCCAATATATAACTTTGCTGACGACAGCACACTTATCTCGTCATTACATTTGGATCCCAACACATCGGCTGCGGAAGCACATCTTCACCGGCAGAAAGAGGTTGAATATCTTAATGAGGATCTAGAAATAATTTCGAATTGGGGTGAAAGTAATCAGGTTCAATTCAATGCCACAAAAACCCAAGCATCGGTTTTCTCCAAGAAGATAAATTTCTCCGAACCGAATATAATAGTATCAGGTCAGACAATTTCGCTTTCTGCTTCAATAGGTGTGTTGGGGGTTAAAATGGACAGCAATATGTCTTGGGACAGTCATGTCGGTGGAATTTGCATAGTTCTGAACCAGAAACCTATACACACCTCAGCAACTTTTGATGCTTTATGAAGCTCAGATCAGACCTTCTTTGGTGTATTGTTCTCATGTATGGAGCTCCGCCCCCAAACATACCCTGAAGCTGCTGGATTCCATCCAGAAAAAAGTCATCCACCGGAAAGTAAGAGACTTGACATATTTGATTCCACCAAGAGCGGTATACATATCAGAAATACGCGACGGACTGTGGCTGCTCATCGTTATGAGGTTCAACTCTGTACACCTCGAACTTCACTGTTTAAGAACTCTTTCATTTGGAGAACGGCGTTCATGTGTAATAAACTTGCAGCGAACGTTTTTCCATATGGATTTATTACTGTATTTTATCCAACATCTAAAATCATAATCCTCTCTTCTTTCTGTTTGAGATATGAGGAAAAACACCAAACTTTCAAATTTGCAAATTCAAATGATTTTCACAATAAATATAATTTTAAACCGGTACACGGTAGCTTCATCCGTTACTAGTACATCAAACTATTTTGCAATATCTTTTACATAACAGTAGGTAATAAGAACACTCATTAGATGAACGATAAAATTTTGTAAAAACTGGTAGATTTAGAAAACAATATTATTTCTAGGAAAGCAGTTGATATTAATGACATTTTATGAGAACAAGTTCACTGATGGTGAAAGAATAACTTTGTTGGTCGATTGAAAGACGATTTGAAAATTTGCGTTTATGGATTTCCAGAGAGATTGGCAAGTTTAATTCTTTTCCTTCATTTTCTGTATGTGATATGTCGTGGCTCATGTTGAAATCATGTTCATTCTCTAAAGCAGCGGTACTCAACCTTTTTTCCCTTTAGGCCACATAGTCGCGACTGCTAGATATTGCGGGCCGCAATAATAAAACTGGACTGAACAAACTACTTTCAGGTTTTGCGTTATTAGAGTTAGACGTTGTATGTGAAATACAATAAAACGCAACTGTAAAAATAAACCATTTATTTAAAAATTAATGTGATGATTGACATTGACGCAAACTATTTACAATTTCTGATAAATCTGGCACATAATTACTACATTACTCTCAAAACTTCGTCCAGGTGCGAATCACTTGATCGAGATCTATAAACATTTTTCGCATATTTCATTTTTGAATATGAGGATTCGCACAGGTAAGTTGACGCAAACAAGGTGAGGAGCAAGTGTACGCAATTTTTGAGCGTTTTGTAGTTATCCGGTTATCAGAAAATACTATTGTCAAATTATCTAAAACTATTATATTAGCCTTCAGGCTGCAGAAAAGGCTAGAGCCGCTAGAGGGCTACATAGCCATGGCCCGCGGGCCATAGGTTGAGTATCGCTGCTCTAAAGGGTGGCAAGCATACAGGTGGAATTAATTTTCTTCATCCCCAAACTTATTTTATGTTTTATTTTTAATCATTAATCTAATGACTTCTTTTATTAACTACTGTTAGATAAAAGATATTGTAGAATAGCTTCATCTACCAGTAACTGAAGCGAAACTTGTTTCAAATGAATTTTTTGTGAAAATTCATAATTGTTATATATTGAACTGAAATATGAAATACAATTGAGACAAATGCTTCAAATTATCAGGAAAAAATGCAGGTAAAAAGTGGGTTATGTAATAATCGGCCAGAATGTTACAATGGTTTGATAGAATATAAATCTTGAATCTAAAAACTATTTGAATTGAATTTGAATATTATTTGAAACGACTACTAAGTTTTGGGAAAGAAAAATTATTCAATATGTGTGATTGATGACTTGTTTAT